GTCCCGCGAGGGCGTCCAGCCTAGCTGTAAGGGTGCTGGGCCCGGTGACGCAAGTTATAGTGGTCTTGCGTCCGCACGGGCCCAGGGGGGCTGGAACCCCTGCTGCTCTGCAGCACTCGGGAGCCCCGGGAGGACCGCGATGCCAGCGGTCTGGTGGTGCTGGGGCTGCTCGCCTCGGGTGCCAGAGAGCTGATGGATGGCCCCTGCACCGCCTGGCTGGGGGTGTCACTCCCAGCACGTGGTGCTGGCACGTGGCTCCTCTCCTGGCGACCTCTGGGCCGGATGTGGCGATTTTGGGCCTGATGGTGAAAGCGGGAGCGGTTTCGTTCCAGCATGGGCCCAGGGCCGCTGGGGCGGAGGCCTCCCCAAAGTGCTGGAGAGCTGCTGGGGGACTCTGACCCTGGCTGGCTGGCAGTGCTGGGGCCGGCGAGCTCCGAGCTGGCGCTGGACTCTGGAAGGGCAAGCAGAAAGGTCAAGGGCTTAGCCTCCCAGGCGTGGGGCAGGAGAGGCCAGAGCAGTGCCGCCAGCCCTCCGGGAGCAGAGACGCTCTGCCAAGCCCACCCTGGGCATGCGCTGCCAGGGCCTGGCCTGGCGCCCGGCCCCAGCCCAGGGGCACTGAGGGCTTTGCCTCTTACCGGTGCCCAGGCCAGCACAGCTGTTGCACTCCCAGCCAGCCGTGCTGCTCCTCAAGTAGGAGCAGCCTACATGCGTGCCCTCGGCAGCGCAGGAGGCTTACCGGTGCCCAGGCCAGCACAGCTGTTGCACTCCCAGCCAGCCGTGCTGCTCCTCAAGTAGGAGCAGCCTACATGCGTGCCCTCGGCAGCGCAGGAGGTGCACAGGAGCAGCTCCCAGGGCCTGGGGAAGCAAACGGGTGCATGGCTGTGAGGACAAAGTGACCTCAGCACAGGATTCTCGGGCAGAGCTCTCATTCTCAGTCCTTCCGCTTCGAGCCCTTGGCGAGACAGAGATCCCGTGCAGAGCCCCGGGGTGCAGCTTTGGCAACTTACCCCTCTTCCTCTACCTGCTCCCC